GGCGCTGCCAGGCGGTGCCTGCTGCTGTGTGGTCAGTTGTGCGCGCTGCTGCCTATGATTGCGCCATAGTGCGCTGCCGGTTGGTGTGATCATAACATTACACCCCTCCTGGACTACGAGCTTGTCCTCAAGCTCGAATTCCGGATACATGGCTTGGAATTCTGCGAATGATTCAAACGACTGCACACTGTCTCTCAGTCCACCAACAGTATGAACAATAGGGACTGCCCCGTAGCTCAGTGCATAAAGCTGGATTATTTGATGCAGACCCCAACCACCTTCTTTAGTTTCCAGCTCCCAAGCGTAACCATGGCTTACAGTGACTACACGATCGGTTGCATTTAGGCCAGCCGCAAGAACATTGAGGTGTTCCCTACCTCCTGGGTCATATAGTTTGAAGTAGTTTTGTGGAAGATCCACATAACAGAAATCACGTACTGGACCACGACCCCGGTGTGCTATGTTGTGGATCATAAAAATGCACCGGTTATGCTTACAGTAGAGGACCTCAAGAGCGGCCTTACCGAAGAGAACCATGCATTTTAAAATATCCTCTCAGCCTTCCCCATATATATTTTCCTCAATATTACGAAACATAGGGCTGTCCATGAACATAAAATCCATGCCATCAATATAAGTTTGGAAGAAAATTACCTCTATATCCTACTCCTCCACCTTACATCTCTTGCACACTCCTGTTTATTGGATTTCTATGTAGTTACCATTCTGTGGTGTCGCAACCATAACTTTATGTCCACGCCGAGCCAAGGCCTTCGGTAAAGCCCCAGCAACATYRCCCAGCCCACCTGTCTTCGTCAAAGGAGCACATTCTGCAGGTTCTACTGCAATGTTCGTGACATCGTCCTCGGCCAAAGGAGGAGACTTCACAGTTTCATCCTCCCTGCGCTGATCCTTGGAAATAACTGCGGCTGTAGGGGCAGCGATCTGTTGTTCGCTGCATGCCTCTGCCCAGTCCGGATGGTGTCTGTTGGTGTTGGCGATTCCCTCCGAACTCATTTCTTTGTTGGAGAGGAATGCTTCCAGCAGGCGTCGCATCTCCCGGATGTCTTCCCTGACTTCATGAACCTCCATGCTGGTTTCTGCAAGTTGGTGTTCCAGTTCGTGGACCTTGGAAGACAACTGTTCCATATCGCCCATGACGTTTGGCTCTGATACCAATTTGTTATGGTCTCGCGCGTAGGATCCCGCCACGGGCCGGTCCACGGTGCGAAAGTCTTGCTTCCCCTTGCGCCTTCCCTTGCGTGCAGACCCTATTACGGAAATTGAATGGGTGATTTGTCCAAGAGACCACCCGGACTCTCCCTTGGGGTGATTTGTCCAAGAGACCACCCGAACTCTCCTCACTATTTTCTTGGCTGGAAAACTGACTGCTTTATTTCAATTCGTAGCTCCTTAAATAGGAGATTACADARGGAAATTCCTAATTAAACTCAAACTCCAACTTGAACTCAAACTCCTAATTACCTACTCCTAATGGTAACTCACTCTTACTTAAGATAAGATAAAGATAAGGGATAAGGAATAAGATAAGGATAAGGTAAGCTGGCGGCAAGTTGGCTTGACGTGTCCAGATAAGGGTGGGCCCACCTTTATGAGCTGTCGTGTGGGCCCCGCTCTGCTGTTGCTGTCGGGTGCGTGTGCGCGGCTCATGGTGCCGCTGCCGCGTTGTGTGTGTGCGCAGTGCTACTGCCGCGCAGTGCGTGCATGCGACTCATGGTGTCGCTGCCATGCGGTGCCGGGCATGTGCGCGGTGCGTGCTGCCGTGCAGTGCGTGCGGTGCGCGCTGCTGCCGGGTAGTGTGTGCTGTGCGCTATCGGGTGGTGCGTGCTACGCGCTGTCGTTGGTGCGTGCTGCTGTGCGGCGCCGCCAGGCGGTGCTTGCGGCTGTGCAGTCAGTTGTGCGCGTTGCTGCCTATGATTGCACCGTAGTGTGCTGCCGGTTGGTGTGACCATAAAATCTCATGGATTCTCAGACTATCTCAAACTTCAATGGGCTAATTAGAGCTTTAAGACCAAATTTCTTGTCCATTAGATGGAAAGGACTTCGCAGTTATCCCAACTATCCAAACAGAACCTCAGCAGGGTGGACTAGTGTGAATACAAACCCTGGCGTTTTCTGCATGAAGTGGTAATCCTCAATTGAACCTGCATTCTCACACTTGTCAACCCGAGATTTCACAATTGGACCAAGCAACGGCCTCTACATACATACACGCTCATGTGTAGTCATATAATTGGTTCAGGTCCTTTTTGTCAACCCACATTGAGGTAGACCTGGTGCCAATCCAATTATTAACAGATCCGAAATTTTGGACCATGAACCAATCCAAGGCAAAGAGGCAAAGGGGACCTGTTCCACACCCCACAACGAATTCAGATAAAATAAAGAAATTGGGAATTTAATACTTCTTTCTTTTTAACTAATTGCTGGCTTTTTGGTCTCATAGTGAATGGAATGGGCAKTTTTTGGTGAATTGACAACAAATAAAGTGGCTGAATTGAATGGCTTTATAACTTATTGCATTTGTCTTTGGGTGAGTAAGTGATTCGGGWGGTAGTGAGTTCCTTAATGACTATGGCTGGAATTGGATTGATTACTTATTGTTTCAGTTCAGCCATTTCAGCTATTAATAAATGACCCCTTATACCTAAAATGCCAAGTGACCATCTCAATTACTGGGTCATTGGCTGAGTAATATCAGTGACCCAACCTACTGATTTTTTTTAAGGAAATCAGCTAAAACCTCCCTTTCCCTTTGCTGATAATCTCTCAAACCTCCCCCAAAGACTCTCTCACTCACTGCTGACACCTGACAGAGATGGTTGGTCAAATGGCAACCTAGAAAATGCAAAATTACAATTTTACCTATCATATACTCTTAATACATAGATATATGTATATTGATTGATATTTTCAAAATAGCCTCAAGTAATAGTTGTTTTGCAGATGACCAAAATACCACCAACCTGCAGATGAGGAAGCCACCCGAGCTACCAGAAGCAGAAGGTGTGTGAGCATGAGGACAAATGAATGCAGAATGCTTGGGTTTTGGTACATTAAAATGAAATCCCTTCTGCTATTTCTAAATCAGGATTACATCAAGTATTCCAAGTGAAAAGAACCACGAAAGTCAGGTGGGTGTAGGCCCTGTTTTCACAAAGCTAATAAAGAGAGCCTTCTTAGCTAGTAATGGGCCACCATATTTGAGCTTCTATTACTTGCCACCTGTCCCATTTTAATAATTGCAAAAGGAGTTATGGTCTGAGACTAAGAAAAGGTCCTACCGGGAGTTGAACCCAGGTCGCTGGATTCAAAGTCCAGAGTGCTAACCACTACACCATAGAACCAAGTTATCAGCAAGCGTTTTCTTTCCTTCAAATCATCTTTGAAGTGAGCGTTGATTAGACYTTGGAAGAAAATCAGGATTCCCCACAATAATATTTCAACTTACACAAATTTAAGCCATTCAGAACTTCACAAATCAATTAATTTTAAGGGGAAATGGGGTTCCATAAGAAAATCAGGATTCCCCACAATAACTATTGAATTGTATAGATCACAAGATTTCTTCTTCTTTTTTTTAATAATTATCACAAGATTTTTTCATTGATGGATTGATTATGCTATGCTGGTCGGGAGCTCTTTTCCTTGTTGCTCTTTCAATTCATCCTTTCAAGGTTTCATTAATGGACGAAGAACCAAGAAACCATCTTCTCCAATCTCACACATTGATAGCCCCAAAATAAAAAAAATAAAAAAAAACATGCAAGCAAAGCTAATGTAAAGAATATATGATATCAGAATCGCTTTTTATCAATCAAACTTACAGTTTTGCATTGGAAATATTTGCTCCATAAAAAATATACAGACTTAATTTGGAAGGAATACAAATATAAATTTATAGTGTAAAACCTTTTATTTTATATTATTTTGTATATATTTATGCAATACATATTTATATTTATACTCCTTTCAAACTGAGCCACAAATACAAACATATTTACAAATTACAATATACAACTGTAAAAGGCTATGAAAGCAGTGTAAATACGAGTACTGAAGCCGAGTCTTGTATAGATAATTAGAAGACTTTTAGCCTATGTTTGATTTGAAGGAAAATGAAGAAAAGAAAGAGAAAGATAAAAAAACCTTTTTAAATCTTGTATATATATATTTTTTTCTGTTTTTTCCTTCGTTTTCTTACCTWTTCCTTCAAACCAAACATAGCTTTAGTGAGAATGCACTTCTGACCAACCAAATTTCACATATAATGCTTACTACATTTTTACTTGTCAATTCATCTCAGTTAACTAATAATGATATATATATTTTTTTCTGACATCATTACATGAAACCTGGGGCCCATACTTAATTCCAAACCTTGTTTGTCAGAGAAATTGAAATCATATAAACAAAGCTTCATTGTATTCGTTAACGTGAATTAATTATTCTTACTTTTTTTTTTTTTTCTCTTTAAATGGGCCCCACATATTAACATTGCCATCCCGACCGTCAGCAAACCTGAAGATAGTGGATCCCCCACAAAGATGCGGATTAATTAAACAAGCTCTAAACTTCAATTCCCTAATTTGGGTAATGGATCTGATTTTCAAATGCCTGGTTGTGGTCGATGGTTCCATACTTCCACTTCCACGAGATTAGCTTATCACGATAYCAAAATCAAATCAAAATCTTTGATTGATTTCAATTCCTGAAATGACAAAATAAAATAAAAAAACCCAATTTTAATTAATTAATTAATTAATTAAATTATATTTGTACAACTCTTGGATTCTTCGCCCTACAGACATGGTGAGGCCCAGCATGTCTTTCCACACGTCAAGGAAAGCAGAGAGTTGCAATGCATAAAGCCATAAACTGGTCGTTTGCTAGCGTTTCTCTCCTATCCGCGTTTTCAAAGCCGCTTTGTCCTCATTTGTCTGTACTTTGTGTGTTCTTTTCCATCGTCAGTCCAGAGATAATCCCGATTTCTCGAAACTAAAAAAAGCCCAAGCCCGGCCYAACAAATGAGCAACTTTGCCACGTTCGTCAGTCCGGCTGAAGACAAGCAATGCGGTCAAGATTCATTCAACTCATCAACCTCGAGTCGAGACCCACCGAGCACCGACCATCGATGTTTTCCAATGTAAAACATCAGTACTACGGTAATTGATCCCAACCGTTTGATTAATTGATCAGTTGACAGACAGTGCCACGTTACAATCTTCTATAGATCCTAGAGTTTGCAGACACAATCTTCTCCCTTCTAGGGGGACCTGGGGCTACATTTCTTGTCAGCGGTCTCTTGGACGGCTGAGATTCTTTTTGTCAAATTTACGACCCTCGTTCTATTTCTGGCCAGCAAGATTCTCAGGACTCAGGTTGCCTCTGTCTCGCGTGTTTCGCCCGCTATAGAATATCGTACTATCGTGCTTACTGCTTACATCCGGACTGGCTCTATGAAAAGTGTCAGTTCCCTAGGTAGGTTGAACCTTGAACGGACGCGGAAGAGCTGAAGAGGTGGTGGGAAGTGGGCTCATGACACTTCGTGTAGGGCCGAAGCTGGTTAGGCAATCAGGTGAAATGGGCCCTCGGCAGTTTAGTGGGCCGTAAAGTTCTCATTTTGGGCTCATCGTTTTCTTTTTGGGGTGCACCTCTGTCCTCTGGCTCTAGTGCTAGACTAGTAGACTAGAACCGAGGGGCGAGTGGGATAGCGCGTGAAATGGGAGGTAAATATAAATATAAATTAGAAGGAAGAAAGAAAATACAAAAAAAAGAAAAAAAATGATAGAAAGAGTGAGAAAAAACCCTATTGTAATTGTCCGTTCTTGAAAGTCCGCTTCGATTGGATCAAAGCGTGATGAGGGGGTGATATCATGACGCCTCTACTTCCTTTCCTCCTCTTTTCTTCCTTCTTCCTTCCGTCCTCCTCCCTCTCTCTGTAACCCAAACCTCCATTGATATAAGCCCGAAGGGGTGAACCCTAGATCTCCCAATCTCACCCTCCACCGTTCGATCTCTCCCTGTTCGCTTCAGTCAATCTTCCATTTCTGTCGTCAAACTGCCTTTCAATCTGCTGCTTGTTTCTGCGTTTCCTCCTGGTTCTGTTGCGATGGGCGTTGACCGGCTTAATGCTTTCAGCCTTTGCTCGTTGTTGAATTCGGAGAATTGGAGGGGGTAAATCGGTTGGGAGGGTTCGGGTGGAGGCCTCGATTTTCTTTGGAGTTAGGGTTTTGGTTGTGAGTGTGGATTGGGATTTCGTTGATGGAGCCTCGTGTGGGGAACAAGTTCCGGCTGGGTCGTAAGATCGGTAGCGGGTCCTTTGGGGAGATCTATCTTGGTTTGATTATTCTGTTCTCTTTCTCTCTCCCTGTTATTTTCCTTCTTTTTATTATGATTTTGTTGACATTAAGGTTGGCATTCCTTGATTTCTATTTTGTTTTCTTTTTTTTTTTCAGGTACTAATATTCAGACCAATGAAGAGGTCGCTATTAAGCTCGTAAGTAGAATCTTTCACCAGCCTTCTTAATTAATAAAACGTTTCAACGATGTTTCTCCTCTGTTAATTTGATGTTCTTTAGGAAAGTTTCTTTATTCTTTAAGTTTGTTCGTGGTAATACAGCTGCTCTTCTGCGCTTCCTTCTATATCTAACCGAACAATACAAACATATGCACAATTGAAGCAAAAGAAAGGGGGCTGGGGAAAATTGACAAATTTGAAGAGCTATRWTTGACATGGGTTTGGCTCTTCTGTTCACGTTAATGTAAATTCATCGTGCTTACTTCAAGAAAAGTTTAAAGAGGTATCATTCACATGGTATAAATCAAAACAGTAAATACTGGTTCCAAAGCTTGGCATCTACGCAACGTAGAAGCTATTAAGAAATGAGTTACAATATCCTCGATTCAGTAACGTTTCTCATGCAGAATCAGCTGTGGAGAGTGTTTAATTTTCTAAGATGTTTGATTTTTTGGCGACTAGGTGCCCTCTTAGGTGATGATCATTTCATAAAGAAGCTTTGGTTAACTTTATCTTGTCCCCTTAGTTAATGTAGCAAGAATCAAACATTAAAAGTGACTGGAAAGCAAAAATTACATAACCTATGAAAAAGCAACTGTACGGAACCCTGCCTGTATTCTGTTCATGCGAGAGGGATACATAAAGAGAAATAGAAAATGCATATATTGTGTGTTTGTGTTTAAATTATAGAATAGAAAAAAGAAACGACCAAGGAGGATGGGGCCCTTGTTAGGTTTAATGTGACAGAGGAATAGGGTTAAGTGTAGAAAAAAGGGGAAAAATAAAAGGATGGAAGTGTAGTGCAGAGGAAAAAAAGCAAATGAAGGGACAGAAATATTTTACTACAAGTACAAAGAGAGGGATGATACTTGTTTTGCTTATAGAGATTTAGAGGAAAGGAACTGGGCGAGGAAGCTTTTTATGATGAATACCATGGGTTCTATTATAGTGAACATGTTACTAAGCCCGTTTTGTGTCCATTTAAATTGAAATTAGTTGTTCACAATGCCCTTTGCTGCTTTGCCCTTATCTGTAGAATATAAAATGGCATAGCAGAAATTATACCTAAGACTGACACACCTCTACACAAGATCAGTGACAAGGCAACCATAAGAAAATGCCTTATTGCCTAGGTGACGCTTTGACAATTATGATTAAGACATGCTCTCACTGTACTTGTATTTATTTAGTTGTGGGCACTTAGATGAAGAGAGTTAGGAATTTATAATCATGTTTGGAAGTCAATGAAATAGGAGCCATTGCTTGGTGTAATTGTAAAATCTTGGGATGACAAATGTGAGAAAACAGATTCGAGTCTGAGAGAGTTAACTTTGTGGAAAAAATGCCATTGATTTGGTCCATATCTATTCTACCCTCCCAGGGTCCAAGGCCCCTGATAACTGGGACCATCATTGGATAATGGCCTTCTCATTGAGTCATTGAAATATGGCAATGATCAATTACTTTTATCTCCCTAGGTGGACACCCTCTAGTCATTCTCAAAAAAGTTTTCTTCTGAAGTTTAAAATAGTGACATAATCTCATATACAATATACAGGTTAATAAAAATGCAAATGCAATAAAATAAGAATTGGCAGTCTGTTTTTTCTTTTCTTTCTCCTTTTTTTTTGTGTGAGAGAGAGACCTTGACTCCTTAATCTGGTTCTGTTATTTATGGCAACTTCGTACCACCCATCACTGATTGGAAAAAACCTTAAGAACTGCTCTGCCAAGTGTCATTTCTATTTGTAATGTGCCATAAGCCCATAACTGATGCTGAAAGCAGTTAACATGCATATAATATGATACTGTTATAGCTACAGAGAACCATTAACAAGTAAGACCTCAAAATTTGAAATAAATTTGTAGTCAACTAGGCAAGATAGTTGTTTGGCAACCTGGGCAACCTAGTCAACATTTAATCATCCTACACAACCACATCATGGGCATAGCCACTTGTCGAGTTTGCAGTTGCTTTGGCCCTCAATTTACTAGTCAGTTAACTAGCTGATCATGTATGAAATCTCAATTCTCAAACTGATCAGTAAGAAAACATTTACAGACTATAGTTCAAAAGGACAACTGAGATCCAATACTGTCAATTGATGGTATAGAGAGGCATAATCTTAGTAGCGTTAACATGAAATGTATTGCATTGACCAATTGCACTTGTATGATTCTTCAATTWCTTCAATTGGTATTAATTTATGCCTTTTCTGCATAAGGTGCTTACTATGTTTATTCGTTTCAGGAAAATGTTAAGACAAAGCATCCACAATTGCTGTATGAATCAAAGTTGTACAGGATCCTCCAAGGAGGAAGTAATGAAAACCATTGCTTCTTGTACTTTCATTTGCTTTTTTATTGAGAGTTTTCATACACTTGCTTGAAATACACTTTCATGAATTTTTCAACTTTGACAGCTGGAATTCCAAACGTAAGATGGTTTGGTGTTGAAGGAGACTATAATGTACTTGTGATGGATTTACTTGGACCTAGTCTTGAAGATCTGTTCAACTTTTGCAGTAGAAAACTCTCTTTGAAATCTGTTCTTATGCTTGCAGATCAAATGGTTGGTTTCCATATATAGCTTGTGTATTCTCTAAAGTTTTATATACTTTTTTCAGTTTCACTATGTATGACAATTTTACTGGTCATAACTCAATGTCAGATAAATCGAGTTGAATTTGTTCATGCCAAGTCATTTCTACACCGAGACATAAAACCAGACAATTTCCTCATGGGCTTGGGGAGGCGTGCTAATCAGGTTTTGGTTTTAAACATAACTTCATGTTTCATTATTAACAACATTCAGAAGATCTTTTTGATGTGTTATCTGCTGTTTCATTTGCACATAGGTCTACATCATTGACTTTGGTCTGGCTAAGAAGTATAGAGATACTTCAACCCACCAACACATTCCTTATAGGTATGTGGTGTAAAATACTTAAGATAAGCTTGCCGTTGCTCACAGTTCAAGAGTTTGAGACATCATGTGTGGTCAGCTGATTTCTATTTAGATTAATGCTGAAAGATTTCTTTAACATTTGAAATTCATGTTCTAACTTGTTTTTTGATTGTTACTCATAATCTGACTTGTTTCTTGTGATATTTTTCTTTATCAATCTTGTTTCTTATGATATTGTCGGGCATCCTAAGGAGAAAATTTACGTGCAATTTGTTTCTAATTTTGTTGTTTTTTTATTGGTTCTTTCATGGTTTGTTTACAGATGCGTCTTTATCAACATCACTGTACACGTTTGCAGTGTCAAAGATTGTTGGATTATGTTCCTCTTATATTCGTTGATTGTAATTGTTATCTTTTCAAGTTAATATCCAAATAATATTTTTGATAAGCAACTAAGGGTGGATTCGAGCCGAGCCGAGCCGAATATATGGCTATTTGAGCTCGGCTTGCCAATAAACTATTAGGCTCAAGCTTGAGCTTGATTTGGGCTAGAGACTTGAGCTCGAATTCAGCTCGAATCAAAAGCTTACAAGTCCAAGCTTGGCTTGGCTTGGCTTGAGCTTGATTGTGGGCCAAACATTTTATAAAAATAAAAACATATATATATATATATATAAATTATTTTTTATTTAACATATAAAAAATAGTTTTTATTGTATATTTATTATTTTATTATTTTTTATAATATATACATCTTATTTTTTTTATTATATATAAAAGCTTGATTAGGCTTGTGAGCCTCATGAGCTGAGCTTTATTGGGCTCGAGCTCGGCTTGATTAGCAAACATGCCTATATATTAGTCTCAAGCTCAACTCAAAGCTCGGTTTAGACCAAACCGAATTGAGCTTTTCATGAGCCAAGCTCGAATAGCTCATGAAAAGCTTGGCTTGTGGCCACCCCTATCAGCAACAGATTGAGTAATCTTTATTTATATGGTAAATGGTAGTGGAACCCTTCCATTAGAGCTAATGGGAGAAGTACAAATGCAAAACAATTACCTGTGTTGAACACTTGCTTAGAGATGAAGAGATACTGAAGATAGGAGCAGTACAATTAGCCTACATCTACCACTTCTCAAAAGAGAAGTTATCTGCCAAGTAATTAGCACTAGCAGATCTAGTTATCCCATTGAACAACCTATTCTTCATGCCAAGGACTTGGCCTCTCTAATGATGTTTAAATGTTTCCAAGGTCCATCATCAGTTGATTGCATCCGTATGATTATAAGTTGTATATATTTGTAGTTTGAACCCAAGGTGAACCCCAATTTTAATCCCTGAAGAATGGACGCTAGACTTTGCTTGTATACTGTCCCTTTTCCTATGAGCCTGAAAATCTTAGAGCATTGTCCCATTTGTTTTCTTATAGATATTGCCCATATATGAAGTGTCTTAGTATGGAACAGCCATCAAAGTTTAAGTTGACTCTTTTGGCCATTGGAGATTCCCATGGCTAATGGCCACTAGATGCCTTGTATGCAAAGCTACTCACTCACTGCCATCATGAAAGTCTTCTTGGTAGCATTCGATTTCTTTGCTTTTTTTGCTTTTTTGGATTTCTGAATGTAGTGAAGTTGTTCAGTAATCTGAATGCTGTAACCTCTGAGAAATGGCTATTTTACTTTTTTGCCCCTATAGGTGAATCTGTTTGGTTATTATGCACATGTCAACATAGTGATGCATATATTTTATTTTTTTTCTTTTGATAAATATATTGAAGTAACAAATAGTACATTAGAATAATATTTAATATATTAAGTTAAAATAAAATATTAATTAACATACTATTCTGATTAATATACAAATTACAAAATAATAATTAATAAATTAATTAAAAACAATGCATGCAAATTGAAAAAAGACATTTAAATTGGAAGTTAGTATTAAAATCTATTAAAAGTGAAAAAATATAGTATTAAAAAAATAGCATGTTTTGAAGCAGAATTATGATGCTGAAGATGTCAATTATTGATAAAAAAAAAGATGTGAAGGATGGCAATTTACTAGAGCTGGAAATATGAGAACAATAAATAAAAATTAATGAACATGGATAATAACATATGTCAAAACAACATCTCACACATGTCCTGTAACGAAAACATATCTTCTTTTTCTTTCTTTTGGTACAAAAGATAAATTTTATTAAACCATCCAAGAAGAAACAATATGACAAGGAACTGGCTACAGCAAATGAAAACCATAAAGGAACAAACTACAGAGCCTACAGACCAGAATAAACTACGGAAAATAAAGAATAAAGGACACACCATTCAAAAGTCTGATTAATGCTCAGTATCCACATTTTTCGCAATGTATCTTGAATTTAAAGCAGAAAATAACTTGTAAATATCAGGTCAGATGTAGTAGGGGAAGTATGTAATAGTTTGTAATAGCATGTATTGGGAATGCATTGTACTGGGGAAGTATGTAACCACCATTTGGAGTGAGATGAAAGGGGGAAGCACCATGAAAATGAGTGGAAAATAGTAACCGGAAAAATGGTTTGTGGGCAAGAAGATGATAAGAGACACGCTTGTTGTGCTTAGAACAAGTAGACTGATTGATGAGGATCCTGAAAAAGTTTTCCTAAACTGGTTAGGAAGAATTGAAAGAAAAAACAAAGAAAATGAAACCAAAAAGAGAATGCACACTACTGTAGTTTGCAATATGGAGAGTGGCATGTTTTGGCAGATCAGAGGTTGCACCAAACAACCCCAGAAGGGGGGAAGCACTATGAAAATGACTGGAAAATAGTAACCGGAAAAATGGTTTGTGGGTGAGATGGTAGGAGACACACTTGTGCTTAGAACAAGTAAACTGAATGATGAGGATCCTGAAAAAGTTTTCCTAAACTGGTTAGGAATAATGGAATGGATAAAACAAAGAAAATGAAACCAAAAAAAGGAGAGTGCTGAAATATTTTTCCTAAACTGGTTAGGAAGAATGAAATAGAAAAAACAAAGAAAATGAAACAAAAAAAAGAGAGTGCACACCACTGTAGATTGAGATAAGGAGAGTAGCATGTTTTGGGCAGATCAGAGGTTGCACCAAACAACCCCAGCTGCTGGTAAAACAACTTTTTCAGTGGTTGGAGGTGCGATCGGTGCTACCAAACGTACCCTTAGACTCTTAGTCTTAGTTCAATCACCCTTTCCTGCAGTTTCATATTACTTAACTCCTATGACAATCATTATTTATTATTTATAAAAAGAAATCTTATGATAATTATTGTAACTTCATATTTCTCTTATATTATATAAAGGGACAAATGCACTTTTCCTCTACTCATCTACCATTTACTGTTTTCTAATAATCATATTGAACGAGGGGAAGACAATGACAAAAAAAACTGGAACAGAATAGATGATCTCCTAGTTATGAGCGTAAGAGATTGCTGACTTTTGAAAGTTAATAAAACTTTTCCATGTATAATGTATTTGAACTTAAAAGAGTTTGGTTATTCTTGGATTGGAGAAAAAATGAACAAAAAAAATGGAATGACAATTTTACTAAATCTGGCTATCTTATTCTTATTAGCCAGATCATTGTTTTGGTTCTATTAAAAGTTGGTTGATATCACCATTTTTTTTCCTTGTGGTTTCAAAGCACACATACATAAGCCCATTAATTTAAACCTCATGCTGTCATAAACATTTCAGAGAAAATAAGAACTTGACTGGAACTGCAAGATATGCAAGCATGAATACTCACCTTGGCATTGGTATGTATATTAAATTGTCTGTGTGTTATTACCTTTCATTGCTTGCTACTCGGTCTATCATTCTAGTTTTGTTCAATTTCAAAAACCTCACGTGTGGCAACTCCAATCATTTTCTATGTTTTGTTATGCGGTTCTTGGGTTTCATAGAACAAAGCCGGAGAGATGATTTAGAGTCTCTTGGATATGTTCTTATGTACTTCTTAAGAGGAAGGTAGAGTTCCCTTCCTAGCTTTTTTAATTATTTTTTAATTTCTTTCTTTACAAAATATCTTTAGTTGTGCCTTTTCTTTGTAGCCTTCCATGGCAGGGTCTGAAAGCAGGAACAAAGAAACAAAAGTATGAAAAGATTAGTGAAAAGAAAATTTCCACTTCATCAGAGGTAATTCTCTTGTGTTTGCTGGCTGTTATCTTTTTTTTTTTGTTTCAGCATTGGTAAAATCTGAACCCTGAATAAAATGTTTATTGCTTCTTTCTCAGGCTCTCTGTCGGGGTTATCCCACAGAATTTGCTTCATACTTTCATTACTGCCGTTCACTACGGTTTGATGACAAGCCCGATTATGCTTATCTTAAAAGAATATTCCGTGATCTTTTTATCCGTGAAGGTTCCAGTTTACTTACGCATCTGTTTCTTGTGCATTAAATATATCTTAAAGCTATAATGGTAGTGCTAATTTTCAAGTTGCAGCAAAATCTTTCAGCTACTTCAAGTATCAATTCCATTCTATCTGATTCTGATTTCATGTTGTAGGCTTTCAGTTTGATTATGTGTTTGACTGGACCATTTTGAAGTATCAGCAATCACAAATTGCCACTCCTCCTCCTCGTGCTCTTGTAATTGGCATTTTAGCATTAAATTTCCCTTGTATTCCCCTTGAAAGTATTGATGTCTGAATAATGGTTGCTGCTGACAGGGTCCTGGTGCTGGGACAAGCTCTGGGTTGCCCCCTGCTGTTGCAAATGTTGACAGACAGTCTGGTAGTTTTCTGCATTCATTATTCTTTTTTTCTTTTAAAAAATCTGATAATATTTTCTATCCCATATTAAGTTTCATCTTTGTTGGGGAAATGGAGGCATGCTTTCTTTCTAGATTCTGCCTTTGCATAGATGTGGATCCTGTTGCATAGGTTCTCCCAATTACAGTAACCTTTAAGGCCTCAAACCTAGTTCCCTTGGTGTAAAATGTCCATCTTTCTGGCAATTTTTCTCTTACAAATGCCTATTTTTATTTTGTTTAGTTGTTTTGTTTTGACTTCTTTTCCCCATTCTCTTTACCACAACTGAAGATGTGGTGTCTTCCTAGCTATATGCATGGGGCTTATGCTGCTTCTGTAACTTTGTCCTAGGTGGTGAAGAAGGGAGACAAGCAGGATGGTCTTCAACAGATCCCTCGCGTAGGAGAATTCCTGGACCTGCTATAAATGCAGGAAGCTTATCGAAGCAGAAGAGCCCAGTTGCAAATGATTCAGCACTGACTAAAGATGCTATGGTAAGTTATTTTGGTTAAAACTATGGTAACAGAATTTAAAGACAGAGGACTGATGATTCAAAATGGCCTATTGAGGAATGGTTTACTTTCATACTGCACTTTGGTGATAAATTTGCTGGTTTTGATCAATATGTTATTGACACAATATATGATCATAATTCATTACTCAGGTTTCACTTTGATGCTTCATTCATTTTCTATTATTTGTGCTGTAATATAGCTTCTACTACCCCCAGTTCCTGTTTAAAGCTTACTTGATTTATCTTGACAATCATGTTCTAGTATTTTTTCCATTTCTTTTCTCTCTATTTTGAGGGTATACTATTTTATTTTTTTTCCACATTTCTCTTTTAGGCCGTGTTTGGTTTTAAGGAAAAAGTACCTATACAAATTACTAAAGCTAGTAACCCAATGTTCACGACTATTTGTATTTGTTCTACCAGAATTTAGCTTAAATGTTTTATTGTATTTCATAGGAAAAATCAAGCGTCCAATCTTGCATGCTTAATGGCTTAATGGTACCACGTTGCAAGTCCCTGAATATCATTGCAATTAGCAAATGCAATCTTTTTTATACCAAGGCCTTAGACTGGATAGTGTGAAACATGGTTTCAGTTGGTGGATTAGACTTGGATATATTTACAAATACTAAGTGTGACATTAATCATCCTTGCTAATGCCATTATAGATGAGCCATGCACGTGTGCAAGTAAAGACGGAAAGGTAAAAAAGTGAAAAGACGTTTAGATTTTTGAATTTTTACCTTTTTAAATGTTTAGCTGAATGATTAGATTTAATGTTTAAAATTTTTGTACAAACACTGACAGTTAACTGTTAAAATATTCAGATTTAATTGATTCAACTTTTATGGCCTGGACATGAAGCCAAATATTGGCATTATTGGTGAAGATGTTAAAAAGGCTGTAGAGTGTAGAGATGATATCTCATTGAATGATGCTTCCTGTATTGTTTCACTCTTTCACCTGCGTCCTCTTGGCTAGTCTAAAAATCTAATTTATGTAATTATTTTTGTTGTTAGAAGTTAAACTTTATTTTATGTCTGAATGTGACACTGGAATTAGATCATTTTTAGCCTGGGGATGTGGCTTCGTTGCAGTTCGTCTTCTTCTGTTGTTACTTAAACTTACCCTTAAGTGCTTGCTTCCTGGCAGTTGCCTAGTTCTATTTATTTGGGGCGGACAGGTGGATCTTCAAGGCGTGCTGCTGTTTCTAGCAGCCGTGATGCAGCAATTGTGGGCGGTGAGCCTGATCCTTCTCGGCCTCGTGCCACAGAAGCAAGCCCAGGAGCATTTCGCAAAGTTGGAAGTGGTCAGAGAAGTTCACCCATTGGATCTTCAGAGCCCAGGCGCACGTCTTCTGGCAGGAACACCTCAAACATAAAGAATTATGAGTCCACCCTCAAGGGTATTGAGTGCCTTCATTTTGACAATGATGAGAGGTTGCAATATTAGCTGATAGCTGCCTGCTCTCTCTCTCTCTCTCTCTCTCTCTCTCTCACGTGCTTTCCTGTCTCCTGTAAATCATAAACTTCTGTACAACTTTTACGCTTGGAGTGCAACTGTTTCTTTGAGTTGGTGTTTGAAGGAAGCTGTGATTCAAACCTATGATCTGACGGGTTGGGAATGGTGCTCTGTTGACTACACAATAGAAATTCGAATAATTCAGGGGAGCTGAACCCAACTGATACCCTTGGAGGAAAGGCTATGTCCATACAGGTTGAGTTGTCATCATGGGTGTTCTATTTTATACTTTGTTTCGGGATTCTCTACATGCTAATCTGTTACATACAATCTCAGAACTCTGGCACCGTTAACCCTTCATTTGTATTGCTTTTTCACTTTTTCCCTTCTCACGTATACTCTAGAAATGTTGCCTACCAGAAAAAAAGAATATTTAAGTTGAGAGTGATGCACTTGATTTCTGGAGATTACTTGGAGCTTTATTAAAACTGTTTATAGCATTTATGATGGCATTGATATAATTTTGCAAGAATAAAAAATGAAAAAAAAAAATTGTATGGTTGTCAGCCATGGGTGCGCATCTTTGTCCCTTGTGTTGGGAATTGTATGGCTTACGCGATCTTATGGGGTGGAATAATAACACCAATTGCCAATCTTCTATCTGTATTCCTTTTACGAATAAATACATTTTAATATTTATACTCGAAAATGTTGAGTTAGAATCTGCCGCAATTAATTTTGGAAACAGGTTTGTATGGTTTATTAACAATGGTTAGATTTCTTGTCAATGTGTATTTCGTGGAAACACTTTTATATTTCTTAGTTCAAGTAAAAAAAAAAACATATATATATATATATATTTACAACACGGAGACCACCACTCCATCTCCGCCCTGGAATTAGAAGGTAACTTATGGGCCAGAGAACATATCACCTGCAAACAAAATATGTTCCAAGTTCTAACACCTCTTACCAACACAATCTGATACTACACATCTCATACATGGTGGGTCTCAGTCTCATGGTGAGCTGTGCGGTGTCAGATCATGTTGCTAGGGGGCGATTCCAAATCTTTAAATCAAGCATTGCCAGCAGAGAATCCGAACATAGTCTCACTGAACTACTGAAACCATACTGCCCCTTCGCCAACTACACATTTTACTGAGAACCAAACTTCAAGACAAACTTTCCCCTGGTTCGGTGAACTGACCTCGCTTGCTCCCTCTGAAATGAAGTCGAATCCTCTCCTAAAATTAATTACCCCCAATGTACAGGTTGGGGGTCGTAATTTATCCTAAAAAATAATTAATATTTTAATAATTATTAGATATATTAAACTACTTGTTTATTGATCCTATATATGGAGATTAAAATTTCTAATTTTTTCTTAGGTATGACCGTATGAAATAAAGTTGAGAGGTAAATTATGATGGTAAAATAAAGTTGAGAGGTAAATTTTTTAAAAAGACTTGGTATTAGCCGTTAACCCTATAGGACTTAAACATGTACTTCATCAATGAAAAGACACATGTAAAGTCATTTAAAATTTAAAAATCCTATTTTTCCCTTTTTTTTTTAGGATGAAGAAGAAGAACGTTGGAAGTGGAGAAAAAAAGATGACAAAGGAGAGAGAGAGATGACAACGTTTGGGAAACAGACAACAACACCGAAGTGGAAGAAACAGCGTAAGCTCAGCTAAACAAAAGAAAAATGAGGTTTAGAGAGTTCAGAGTTGGGTTGGTTCCAATTTCAAAAATGTGTTTGTTATATTTAGTCGTTCCTCTCTCATTCCACCGATTGAGAAATCATAAAATTTTCATGTGTTTCTTTCCGAACTGCACCTGTTGACTAATCTCTCACTTTTACTTTACCTTCCCTCACCCAAATCAGCCCCACGCGCTTTCATTTTTTTGTGTCGTTCCTCCCCAAAATCAACCCACACGATTTTTACTTAGGGCTGTGTTTGGTTGCATTACAATTTTATTTGCATTAGTACAAATACATGGGGGGTGCAAATGAAGAAAATGCAAATTCCTGTTTAATTTTATTTTCGATTTTACTTTATTCTACTTCGTGTATTAATATACTTCATTTTTACTGCAATCAAATTAAACAAGCAAAAAAGAAAAAGTCAGAATTTATACTCAAACCATTTGCACTATTATAGTTTTGCATCAATGCAAATTTATTTGCATTGCAACCAAACACAGCCAAAAGAAATTGCTAAGTATGAGGCAATTTCAGATGACAACAATAATATGGTGAAAGATCATTAATTAGATCCAAATGAGGCAGGACCTATTGATGTTCCCCAACACGTCCTAAAGGTGATGTAGTCAGTTTTTGAAAAACAGCTTCAATATATGTAGTTAATTGTGAGAAAAGAGGATATACAGCAACCCCCTTTTGTTAAATATACAGTCAGGTTTTGTGTAGACTGTAGACTGTGCAAAGATTCACACCCATAGATATTACGATGTTGATTTTTTGTCAAGTCATCTCGTAGTGTCTCTATTTATCTGTCCAAGCATCAACCCATCTTCTATTTATAATCTTTTTTGGGTTGTTGTTCAGATGTGATCATGCATGTAAAGAGAGGGGTAATTTGATATATCCACCGCCCACGAGTTTGAAAATGATATATTTTGAAAATTTAAAAGAAAATGAAGGATAAAAGAATCACAAGATATATTTAAGTCGTTTTTAGAAACACGTGTATATTTATGAAAACTTGGAGTATGCTCAAGTCTTTTACCCTAATAAGCCATTAAAATAATGCACTTATTTAATTTCTAAACATTCCAGTGATTTTCCTTTGATAGATTTGTAATAAATAACCCTATGGGTTCTTCAAAAAATTTGTTTTTATATAATGAATTAAAGGAACAAGATCAGGTTTCCCTACCTTTTCATTCAAAACCCAACACAAACGTAAGGAGCGTGAATGTTGGAGAGTTGGGACCTACTTGCRTAGATTAGACCAAGGTTCAAAATTTTGATATATATCAGACCGCATCGTATTGGGAGCCTCTCAATTCGCCCCTACAGCGGGTTTAACCCGGCTGAGGAGATAAAGGGGCCTTAGACCGATTCCTCTGAATCAGGATCACAAAGAAAAAAAAAAAAACAATAATATCGGACTGTATCAATGTTTTGAATCTTGGATTAGACGAGTTTGACCCAGTTAAGTTGGAATCAAGAAATTAGAGAGAAGAGATTTTAAACAATTAGACAAGAGACTTGATGTTATTTTGAAACTTGAAAGAAATTGAGGGAATGATTGTTTTCCAACCATCACTGCTAAGTCTTAATCCATGTATTGGTTCCAAAATTTTCGTGTACTGTACGTACCCAACAAATAGCCCCCGTTTGGTTTGGTTGTGCAGTAATTAAAATACTAACCCATTAATAATAATAAATTAATAAAAAAACCAATTCGAGAATTAGGAGAGAACAAGGCAGGGAATTCTTGCAGGCCGAACCTCAGAGCTACGCAAACGCCATCAATGATTGCAGACTGCCCTTTAATCTTCAAGATTGACAAGGGGCAAGAATTTTATTTTAAACTGTTAAGTAGCGTTGGGAAGTCTCATCGCTCCTTTCACATCTATTAGGCAGGGATCAGAGATCATAAATAGCCTCGAATATGAGAGGATGGATCCCCATCCATTATTTTCAAAACGATTCATGAATAGCTTTGAATTTCTTTGATGCACCATTTCGTTTCTTCTCAACTCTTGGTTTCTTTTTCCTTTTCTTTTCTTATTTTTTTTTTCTTACCATTTTTTCATATTCGAGGGTCTTTTGTGGTTTACCTTCTATTTTGTCATTGGTGATCGGTCTACTCTGTATTGTCTTCCTTTGTTTTTAACAAGTGTTTTAAATTTTTTGATCTATTGTTGGCCGTTCTTTCCAAAATAGGTTTGAAGATTTTATTTCTATCTTATTAATTCATAAATCATCTTTTGGGTTATTTCTATGTGGAAAATATTTATGTAAGTATTTCATATATGTTTCTATTTAACTTAGAGAAAACCTACCTGTATTTGTTATTTTGACTGTGTACAGTTCAGTTTGCTAATGAACTGATCAGTTTCGGACTTTTGGTAGCTTTGTTGCTATGGCTGTTCTGGTTCGTCGGTTCAGAGATGACAATGGAGGGAGGAACAGAGGATGGAGAAAGAGAGTGGAAGAAGAAGAAAAAAGGAAAAGGATAGGGAGAGGGCATTAGAAAGGAAAGGGTTTCTCTTTTTTCTGTATTCTACTTTTAAAGAAGCAAACCATCAGTTAATTTGAAACGTGACGTGTTACAATCTTATTGGGAGTGCACCATGGTACACACCAAACAAGTGCAGGAAATCCAGATTGAATCATCTTTCGGGTTTACTATTGATATTCCCACATTTTTGGGTTCATTTCGGCGGTGTTGTATGGAATGAAATCCAAAATCAAACTACATCGTAAAAATGGTATCAGTTTTAGTAATAGATTAATTAGTTGTATATCTACAAGTGCTCAATGCTTAGATAGAATTCTAGTAAATATTATTGAGTAGTTTCTTGATTTGGTATCTCCCCGGCCGGCCATATAAAATTAGGCCTCCCGATCTCTTCACCCGTCATCAGCATCCAAGAATGGCTGGGCTACCTTGAAGCAGTCTCTTTCTTCGTTCTCTCGCATTCTAGTAGTTTTCATGGCCATCATTAGCATCCCATGTGGTGCTAATTAATTGCTATTGAAGAAGATAGAAAGGCAAGCCATGCATCCTCGATCGCTTTTTAGCTACGTGGGTTTAGATATTCTTTTGTTAATCTGATGCTATTCTGAGTCTGTATGAATACATATATATATATATATATATATATATGTATGTATGTATCGGTGTTTCCCAGTAGAACCCTCCAGCTTCATACAACGAGATCCTGGAATTTCATGGGTTTAACTGCGGCAGCGAAAAGACAACCCAATGCCGAGAGTGATGTGATAGTCGGTGTCTTTGACACTGGAATCTGGCCGGAGTCTGAAAGTTAATTTCAGTGACAAAGGATTCGGCCCTCCTCCTAAGAAATGGAAGGGTACGTACTTGTAATGGTGGCAGCAATTTCACCTACAACAAGTAATTCTCTTCACTCCATGGATCATGCATGCATGATGCATGGCTGGCCTAATATGTGTTCTTCTTGCTAATGAGATATATTTGTTGTATTAGTATAGGTTGAWGGGAAGGCAAACATGTTTCTGTTCATTTGTCTTGAGATGACAATGTCTTCCTCCATGATCTAACTATGAGACTGTCGTCTCAACAATCTGGTATTATGTAATTGTTGCAGTAAGCTCATTGGCGCTCGAGTTTACAGTGAGAATGAGGAGGAAAGTGCAAGGGACAAGGAAGGACATGGCACACAAACTGCGCGCGTCAACAGCAGCAGGGAACAGAGTGGTGGGTGTGGGCTTTTATGGAGTGGCTCGAGGAAATGCAAGAGGAGGAGCGCCATCAGCT